CACAATTGATGTACATAATGTTAAGGTAGAGATGCAGTTTATTTGTGAATTTCAATCAAAAATATTTTTTTCCGTTTTTTATATAGATTTTTATCTAAAGAACATTCTGTGAAAATTTGACCAATGAATTCTTATTGGAACACCATTAAAATTGCTGTTTATTTTCTGGTTAAAAATAAAAAAACACTCACACGTGGCAATGTTTATGTCCAATTGCCTAATTTGCATGAGTAAGCAAATAACAGGACCTTTGATTGACAATATGCATATCGAGATTGTACGGGTCATAGATCATTCAATTCACGCGCATGTGCAATTATTCTCGAATCAGTTATCGCTCGCTAGCAAACCAAACATTATATTTCCTCAGCGTTTTTTCCTAATTTTTATCATTACATTATGCGTGGTGTGAAAAGAAAGAGAGGTAGAAAGAAGATTCAGATGATTTCTATGTCGGAAGAGGCAAAAGCTACACTGAAGGCATCAGCCTGCCGGACGAAAAACAAAATCGATGTGAGCGTCCAAACGTGACTTTCCCTGAAGGCGTGAATCCGAGTTTCTGATTGACTGAAAGATTTTATTTTTAAATAATTATTATCAAAAAATAAACTGAGCATGTGAAGAATAATTTAACATTGTTTACAGTGATAACAGCTCATTGTCAAAACGCAGCTTACCCATTCACGCTAGTCACAATAAACATCATACTCTTGAATAGGCGTCAATGACTACGGTAAAACTTAGACTCTATATTAGGCATCAGGAATAATTGAAATGCCCGAAAATGACGCCAAAATACACCTTAAAAGTCCTATTTTATTTTTTTCTAAATCCCATCCCGAATTTACGGCAGAATCTGGTCCCTCAAATAAGGGACACGTGAGCTTTGATTCTAACCGGATATATTGCACTGGGTCGGGGAGATACATACTTTCACGTATCTTTTGTCTAATGCTAGGTGCTAGGTGGTGCGAGACAGCTTTGTTTGCAACCGGACGAACTCCGTTTAATTCAATGAAGCAAACAACTGACAATGCTAAAATAAATTGCAGAGGTATGCTAAAATTAATTGAAAACAACCAAATAATTTCAATGAAAAATAAATCACAGAGAGAGGTAACTTGATACATTACGGTAACAACTCTTTTGACGCGCTGACCGCTTCTCGCGTCTGATG